TTCGTGGTTTTACACAATGAAACCATAACTGTAACCGTTTGTGTTCTTACAAGTCTTTGAGAAGACAGAAAACTGTTTACGGCAAATATGTGGCACAAAGGATGAACACCTACCACATGATATAGTTGGTGGATGTATAGAATCCATCCCCGGGACTGCCCACATTGATCAGTTGTTTCCGGGCGCCAACGTGACCTGTATCGCGACCGGTATGCTCTTGATTGAATCGATCCCCGTAAAACGCATACGCCAAACTATGCGCATACTTTTTCGCTGGACCTTTATGTGTTATGTTGGTGCGCGGACCTGGGCTAGCGTATCGTAGTGTCTCCTTCGTCTGGGCGACTTGTGGCTCCACTACGGAGCTTATAGGAGGTAACAGGGCAAAGCATGGCATCGTTTGGTCCATAGTACGAGAACCACTCCGTTGATGGCTCCGTTTATCCAGAAGAAGATAGGTGGACTGTATAAAAATGGAAAGCACAAACAACAAGGCATACCGATTCAGCGTATGCATAGTTTTATAAATCAGAGAGAGATGTTTATATTTGTCTGAAAGGCCGGAATACAGAAGCAAAATATTTTTTAACATTGATATGATTTGTAATCCGGGTACTGTTCCGTTTCTCAGGTGGCTTGGCAATTAGGTTTCATTGTCAACCACAAAAATCCGTCTCGTAAAATCTATCCGTGGATGGCAATGAAATAGTTCCGATTCAACGTGCAAGTAAACATCAAAACCGGAAATTAACCTGAATAGAATCAGAATTTTATGGAATTATTGCAGTACGTAGACCCGAGGGCTATCAACAACAAGAGAGGAAATTACTAACAGCCTGGACACACTTGACAAACAATCGTGGGTTATTTATCCACTATACATCTCAGATAAATCGGCCCCCGTATTGGTTGTTGTTGCATACTTGTATGATCTTGTTATGGTTTCCGAATTATGGCACCTCCAAATCTCGATCCCAAATAAAGAACACATGCACAATGAGTTCACGACAGTATGACAGAGCAAAGGAAACATGTGTCAGTGAATGTCTGAAAACTCAGTCATTTTGTAGACTCCGGTGTGTTCCGAGTACCGTACGTCATTGTGTCATTGTGGACCGATCAGAAATGTTAGAACGCATGCACATTAGCTGGCCGGTCATCTGAGTTCGAAAGCTCACCCAGATAACAGGTTTTGTCTCTCTCTCTCTCTGTCTCTCTCAGATTTTTCTTGTATATTGAGTATTTCAACTGGTGTTTTCTTGAAGTTTGACATTGCTGACAGGTTTTCTAGGCACCTGCAGTCGGAACACCGTAGAAAATCCCAAATTACTGTAACACAAACACAAGGAAAGACAAACAGACCACAAGGACTTCGCGGGTTGATCTGACTGTAGAACATTTGATCCGAGAAGCATGACCCATTTCTCTATGGGAACTTATTCACATCTCCATATCCGACAGGGAAACAAAAATACACAACCACCAAGAAATAACAAACGTGACCAAAACGTTAATCACATTCCGAGATAATTCACCCCCGGAAAGATCAAAATAACTGTGTATATTGAACGGAAGCGCGACCCGATTATCTTACAGTATGGATATCATTATTAACAGGGCTCCAGTACTCAGGTAAAGTTATCCAGCTTATCGATGAGATACTGTAATTTTCCTCGTTTCAAATCTGATGGAGAAATGTGATCAAAACATTCGTTCGAAAACCATTGCCTATGGTATCTGTCAAAGCTAATGCAGAGAGAAAAATCATTTCGTATGTCAAATAAACGTCACTGTTTATTGATCTCCGGAATACTGGAAGACCAAATTAGAATACATCGACGATAAAACTCAGCTGTTCTCATTCATCTAAGTTACACGAAGTATATTTGATAGCCAAACAATAGCTGTCACTCCTTTTACCAAGCACAGCGATCTCAGGGTACAAAGTTCTATTGCAACGGTTGACCGTTGCTTGAACAGCCAGTTCCAAAGGCCCCACCTACACGGCGTAACGGAATAAGCGAAAATGTTACACGACCCAAATGAAGGGGATATCTCGGTTTAACCTGTGTCTGGACTGGGTTCCATTTGGCCCTTTGCAATCTCTGACTGCAGACAGCGCTTAACTAGATCAGCTGAACAACGCAAGGAGTTCTTGATTTTGAACCCAAACGCCGACCACCTTTTTCATTGATGTTCTTTTCAAGTGTTGTGTTTCAGATTAAGTAAGCGAATGAGCACACAACGAGTTTATTGTAATTGACAAATATGTAGCGGGTTCGCAAACCGGGGAACAAGTAAGAAAAGACAACTTGTAGGAAGGAAGGAAGGCAGACAGGCAGAGTACGGCTCACACGTTTCACTACATGCGAATGCCGTCAAGCCAGCATTCCAACGGTCAGTTAATTGATCAATCAATCAATCTGGCCACAGTCATGTATGGCAAGCGAATCAGTCAGTTGTCCACCACAACACCAAAACAGCCTTTGAATGACCTCAGCGGTCTTCCTGATAACTAACTGTACCAATATAAAATCAGAAATTCAGTAAACAGGGGAACAAGTAGGAAAGAAGAAGTTGACGGGAAAGGTCTTGACAGTAGAATAAACGTCTGAAATCTAAGTGCACACCAGAATCTCCATATTGATAAGAGGTTTTCCCATGAATCCTGGATCACAGATGTTGGTTTGCGAGTCCGATCGTCATAAAAACGCGGTTTTTCCACCTTCTCTGTATTTGCAGCCTTGCGTCCAACAATATAATCGATTGGGCAACGGAGTTTAGATCCAGGGCTGCAGTAACATCAAGGCATCTAGGGTAATCCCTTTACTGGATTCACTAAACAAAGCGTTTTTTATATGTTCATGCTGATACGTTGGTTACCGATCCATCATTCTGACGTAACCTCATGTAAACACTGCTGGAAACGGATGGTGCACCAAGGCACTACGTTTGTGACTGTCTATCTCGAGCAGGTCGTATCTGTTTATTGATGTGAGAGAAAACTCCGCTAACTGCTAAGAGTACAGTTTCACTGGCTCGTTTCCATGCCCATCTAGTTCGGTTGTTTTACCCGTAAAGTGTTCTGTTTCGTGGGTTTTTGCTGTTTTTCTAAAATGGCATACAAGACAGTGGTTGTGTGGCTTGATATTTTGGTGTTTGGGTCGGTCATTGAACGTGAGCCCCAGTTTGGTTTGTAGGCGTAAATCCTCAAGTTAGGAATGAAATAGCGAGCAGATGACGGCATGATATGCAGTCTCACAAATCACGCTATGAAGCACTCTTCGTCGGAATACTCTCACCCGCGCACTCCGTGTGCAATTTTATAGTACTGACTTATTTTTCTCTCACACAAACGTGTTATTTTTGTACCCAATCGCAAAGTTTGTATTGCGCAGTGGAGTTTATTTATCCACGAGATGGGCATGTCAACTCGGACCTGAAGAAAAACGCGATGAACTCTGCAACGTGCAGGCATGCATGCATGGATAAGCAAAACTGTACGGATTGTACGTGCGGGACACACAGCGACGGATGTTTTTCTGTGCACGTGAGTTGAAGCTATTCGAATTGTCTACCTGGACGCTGAACCAGCTCGTATTGATTTTTGATAAATGACTATTTTCCTTCCTGTTATCCAATGCCAAACTGTGAAATTGTAAACTTTAGAAAGACGGACTGTGGTTGATCCAAGAGATGTCAAGGAATCGGAAGAAACCAGGAAGTTTGAAAACCTATGATGACAGTTTATTGACAATTTCGTCTAATGAAGAGATGATGAAAACCGATTTAAAACCAATTTGATTGGTACAATCCCACGGTGGTTATCAGGAGATTACTTTTTTCCACCTTAAAGTGCGTATTTGGCTGTGAAAAGAAAAGAAAGGAACGAAGATGCAATCGAATCGATTACAGGAACGGAGTTCACATTGTGCTGTAGATAAATCACGAAATGTTCGGTCCACGTGACCCACACTATCGTACGAGTTGAGGAATCGGGGGATAAATTGAATACTTTTGTATGTGCGTGGTATTCGTTCTCAGACCGAAAGTACGAGGTGAAAATGCATTTTGGTGTTGCAGAATTAAGTTGACAGTATCCTTGAACACGTTTATCACAGACTTTGGTGTGTAAAAAGGCAATGTAGTGGACGACATTAACTTTACAACCGTTAGGTATGCACCTTTTGCTGCGGTTTTGGTTACTGTTTCTGTTGTCTACCCACCTAGATAAAAGAATCGAGAAATGATTAGAGTTTTGAAAGCAAAGACTGAGTGGAATGAAAGAATTCTGGCAGGTTACGGTTGCAGATAGATTGGGCCCAGGACAAACCATACACGGATGATGATTTGGTTATCATTTCGTAATAAACCGGGAAAATCAGTGGGAGAACAGAGAACCAGTTATGTGAAGTGCGGGTGTGGATAAACTGTTTTATTGAATGTGAGGGAATTGATAGCAGCTTTAGGCAGAGTGCATACAAAGAAAGCTTTCGAACATTTTTTTTCAGAAACGTTACTGACTTGGTCAGACAAAGTGAGAAAGTGTTTAGAAATAACGCCCAAGTAGTTAACTGATGTTCCCTAGCTAAAGGGTTTATCATTGTTGTGTAGCAGTTGGTATATCCCAAAGGAAAGTATTTTTTCTCCTTAGAGAGAAACAAAACATCAACACATTTGGTTGGGTTCATTGAAGCTATGCGTGGAAGATCACTGAGTTTACCAATTGTGAGTTTTCGGGATAGGGTGAGCTGAAAACAACGTCTTCAGTATGTGAGCAGCTTGAAATTATTGCAAACAGGCACAGACGTCAAGTAGATGGAAAAAGCAAGGAGACAAAATGGGGATCTGCAGAGCTACTAATTCGGAAGCAAAGTGTGAGGAGAACGGACCACGACAGCGTGTCTCTGACAATAAAAGTGGTGTTTCAAGCAGACAACTGTAGGGAGAGGCTATCACGGTCCGCAAGAATCAAAGGACACTGTTCTCTATCTGGTCACAAAATGTTTTACTCATACTTTCAAGTTCACCACCGTAGGCTAAAATGCCTAACCTTACAAACTTGAAAGTGTTACCAAGGGATGATGGGATATAGTGCACTAAGAAAGCCAGGGCATCAAGTGAGGACCGTTTACTTGGTTAGGTATATTAATTGCA